TGTAGTCAACGTTGCTACGGGGTTCGCATCACTACGTTTCAAATTGATGAAAGGGATGTTTTTCGCAATGAAACGTGAAAATATGGATGAAAATGCAAAAAATTGAAAAGTAGGGACTTTTTTCTGCAAGAAGTGTCAAATGTAGGGATTTTTTTGCTATTAGGCCTTACTAAAATATTAAAACTAACAAAAACTCTCTCTCTCTCTCTTCTTCTCCAAATGAGTCAACCACCTTAGAAGCCAAAAAACTCCAGCAAACCACCATCCAAACTACTGGACTAACATACCACCAAAAAGCCCTCACTTCCTTCTTCACATACCACCCAACATCCAATCTTGAAACTTTCATGCCAATAGATTTGTTAGGAATTGCAAACTAAAATACCCAACTCGCAAATGTAAATGCTGGCGGCATCACCTATTTTAAAGAGACTCATGCCATTTCCAACACACAAATCGACTATACTCACTATGGCACCTCTCTTCATGGTCTTAAAATATTAACGATGGTTTAGCGGTATGAAAGTTCGACAGTTTGGGCGATGGTTAGTCGAAATTTTTTCACCTCTAATATGGTAATCCTATTTAAAGAAGAAGATAAGATAGAGGTATTTTTTTAAATATTTTAATAAGTCCTAATGGTAAAAAAATCCCTACACTTGACATTTCTTGCAGAAAATGTCTTTATGTTTCAATTTTTTTGCTTTTTCATCCCTATTTTTACCTTTCAGTGCGGAAAACGTCTCTTTCACCAATTTGAAACGTAATGACGTTTTTCACATTATAGACCAAACGTAGAGACTTTTTGTGCTATTAAGCATTTTAATAATTATTTGGATTTACTTGCACTTTTTAAAACATTTAAAAGTAAGATTGTAATTTATTCTTTATTTTTATTTTTTTGGGTTTTATTTTAATGGGAGGGCATTTTAATCATTTTACATTAAAAAAATGGTGAAAATGACTTTTTCCGCAAAGAAATGTGGAAATAAGAGCAAAAATGCCAAATGAAATGTGGGGACGTTTTTCACAATAAACCTTAAAGGTATGGACGTTTTGTGCCAATTACACTTTCAAAAATCACTCAACTTATACCATGGCTATGAGTTATTCATTGAACTTTAGTATGCTTCACACTATTCGCTGAACTTTCGCCTTTGCGCTCCATCTGTCATCGTTAAAAAATCAATGCCATTTTCTCCGTGGCAAATGGAATTTTGACATGGCAACTAATGTCGGGTTAAATCATGACAAATTAGAGAAATCTTCCAAGTTAGTATAAATCGCGTGACACGTGTTTTTCAAACACATTTTTGGCTAATCTCAAAAAAATAATAATAATTAAAAACAAATCTAAAGTCCTTTCCCTGAACCTTGAGATGGCCCTCATTGCCCGCTCAAACGCTTTCATTTTGACAGCGACCCCATCGCCCAAATCCCATCAAGTTCAATGCCATAGGGTGAAGCTTGGGTAGCGATCGGGATGAAAATGTCCTCATGAAGAATAGGAGTCCACCAATTGCGGCATCCCGTTGCTAGTTAAACAGCGAAGAAGAATGCCAACCAAAGGGCAATCAAATAGGTGTCATGGGTAAATAAAAAATTGGTAATTGTGGAGATCCAACGGCGATGGTGATGATTATGAATTACTAGGGCCCGCGATCTCCTCCACTAGGTTGAACTCCATGTCAGTGTTAAGGTTTCCACAATATTTTCTTATTTTTTTCAGTGTTAATCATTTTCGCTGTTGAACCTGGGGTTTGGACAGGAGTATTAATGGCATTAACACGACATGAGAATAAAAAAAGAGTTTTAGATAAATTTACGAGTAGGAAATTAGTTAGGTATTATGAGAGACTGGAGAGTGAAGCGTAGCAATCTGAATCAGTGAGATTTTGATGGAGGATTTGGTAATAGTGAAGAGGGATATGAAGTTAAATTCTCGTTCGCATTCTGTAAATTGAAGTCATTTTTAGATATTGGTATTCGTGTGTGTTTGAATTTTCAGCATAGGATTTATTAGAGCTTGTTTGTAAAGTCAAATTTGTCGGAGGTGGCGATAGAGGGGTGACAAATTTTGAAGAAGATGACAGGAATTGTTTTTGTTATTTATTTATGTGGAAATTATAAAAATAGTCAATTTTTAACTTTGCATTTACAATTATGTCACTTTTTTTTGGCATTGCAAGAATGTCAATTTTTGACATATTTGCCCCTCTAAAGAATCTCAAATACCCTACAGGTCCTAATGAAATGAGAAATGACCAATGGAAGAAATTGTACCAAAATTAAATGAGATTTGACTCATGTGCAGAAATTGTACAGAACTCTGCCATGTGAATTTGAAGAAAAAGGAAAAAAATTAGACCCAATACCAATGGAAAAAGTTGTAAAAAAATCAGCCCCAATTTGTATACCCTCGTTCATACTCACTCTTCCTCTCTTCCTCTCTCTGCAGCCGGTGCATTCGAAGAGCCAAGAAGGTCGAAAGTCCACATCTCTTTCAAGTCGAAGCCCGCCGTCATCAACTGACCATCCACGCCGCTGCCTGCGTACCGTCGTTCATACTCACTCTTCCTCTCTCTGCGGCTGGTGCATTCAAAGAGCGAAGAAGGTCGAAAGTCCACATCTGTTTGAAGTCGAAGCCTGCCGTCATCAACTCACCATCCACGCCGCTGCCGCGTAGCCCTGCCGTACCGGTATGAAATGTAATTTGTATGTAATATGCGTATAGATTTCAATACTCTTTCCCCTTTTT